GCTTTATGTTGCTAACAAAACTTATTTCTTAGCTATTTATGAAATCAGTACTGTAAATAAAATGTTCTTTGAAAATAAACTTTAAGATGCCAGGCAGAGGTCGTTTGTTTTACTTCTGTAATGCTAAATGCAAGGACGTCAATTAGGTGACACTGCTTCCTCAGTGCAACCATCTTCTAGTTAAAGTCAAACAAGCTGAATTTCAGCAGAGACTTTGGCTTGCTGTTTACATTTTAGGTTGTGTAATTTTGTCTTCATGAAATAAAGTTAAGCACCATCATTATGATAGATTTCCTACATGAGGAACCTCCTAACTTTTATTTATATAATATTCTGTCCTTAAGTATAAATTTCTCTCATTTCAATGATTAAATACATATAATTAGTAGCTTAATTTTTGGAATGCACATGAAATTAAATCTGAGGAGTTTTTTCAGAGTGAAAAAATTTGTCAAATACCCATCTTTGATTATTTTGAAAAAATTGCAGCACTTAAAATTTGCCATGTCTTCAAGTTCTGCCTCATGAAAGAGTTGTTCTATGGGATGTGACACACTTTATGTGAATATGAACATATTTTTTCCTTTTTTACTGATAAGTCTAAAAATTCTTAATACAACTTAGTATTTCCTATGAATATAACAAACACAAATTGGAAAAATCCATAATTGTGAAACTCAATTGCAGAACAGTATGTCATAGGGAATGTGAGTTGTCAGAATAAAAGGTGCCTAGGTGATTTTGAGCATTAGATGAATGACAGTACTTCAGACATTAAAAGTACTCAATCTAAAACTTGAAGTTAGCTGGTCATGTTATGGTTTTGTTTGTTAAATGTGGAAACCCTAGATGTGATTATATTTTTATAATATATAATTATACTTGTATTCCTGTGATTCTAAATATAAATCTACAAGAATATGTAACATAACAGTGGTTATTATTTCTGATGATTAAAGGAAATTTTGGATAATTTATCTACTGTAAATTGTATGAATTATAGCTCACTTGAAAATTACTTATATTTGTGTTGGAATAATAAATGCGTAGTAATAGCATAGGAATGTAAAAACATACAACATGTAAATTTTAGGGTGTATGATGGGAGAATCAGGTAGTTGTATAATGTACAGTTGAAATAAATGCCAAGAATAAGGATTGATAAATGTTAAGCAATTATACAACAGGAGAATTTAACTTCATTTGAAAGATCACAGAAAGCTTTATTAAACAGAGAGACACTCAAAAATATGTGGAAAAATGCATATAATTAAATTATGCAAGATTTTCACAGTAATTCGAACCAAAATGAAATGTGTTTTAATTCTGTTTTTCCTGGAATCTTTGAAGTATTTGTGTGTGTGTGTGAGTGAATGAATACTCATGTGCAGGAAGCTTACAATTTACATGTACAGTAGCAGCCTTCTATTTAAAAAATAGCTGCAATGGCCGGAGCTGAGCCAGTACAAACTCAGGAGCTGAAGCTGCTTCTGGGTTTCCCACATGGTTGCAGGTGCTCGAGAACTTGAGCCAGCCTCTGCTGCTTTCCCAGCACAAAAGCAGGGAGCTGGGTCAAAAGTGGAGCATCTAGGACTTGTACTTTTGTCCCAGTGGGAATGGGATGCAAACATTGCAGGCGGAGAATTAATATGATACACCACTGTTCTAGCCCCTAAACCATTTTATTATACTATTGACAAAGTATTGATTTATGGTTCATTGCAATTTATTCATCATCTGGTATAGTGTGTACAAAGATAGTTGCTTATAGAATTGCCTCCTTTACATAAAAAAATATTATAATCAAATGAGGAGGCTGATGAACCCAAATGTCAGTTCTGTGGGATTATAAATTCGAATGTTTTCCTTCCTGGAGGTTTGATGTCATACTATGGAGTCAGATACTGAGAAACAGCAGTTGATGGCTGAGATAATTGGGTCACTGCCACTCATATGGAAGACCTAGATGGAGCTTCTGGCCTATGAATTTGGTACCAGGTTCAACCATAGTCTTTGGTAGGCATGTGGGGGGTGACCTAAAAGATGGGAATCATCATTCTCTCTCCATCTTTAAATAAATCAAAAGCACTTTCCTAAACAACCAGCTTTCCAAAGCTGGTATTGTTTTGCTTTTTTCTCTTTAAGTGGGCATTATTGTTGGTAATCCTGTAAATTGAAGAATCTCATCCAGAACATATCTGAGTGGTTGGAATAGTCTACCAGCTAATTCTGGGAATATTAGCGCCACCTTGTGGTGCCCACTCTCCCTGACCTCTTATTTTAATGCCTTGCCATTGTTGCAGGTTTTGATACCCAGGAAAGAAAAATGGAGAATGAACTCAATTGCAAAGTTGTTTTTTGGGAGCATACATAAATTCTAATCATTGGATACCTGTTGTAATTCCATGTCTGACATTCTTTTCTAAGATTTTAAAAAGTTTTGCCAATTATAAGTCTGTGTAATTCTATCACATTTTAAGGCATACATATATATATATATATATATACAAATAGCTTTTAAAACACTGTGGGAAATACTTTAGACTAATCTACAGACGGCTACTTTGCTTCTCTCTACATTATTTGATTATAGCATGAATCTTTTTATTTTTAGTTTCAAAGTAATATCTAGCTTTTAATTGAATTTGCTGTTGCTCGTTGTTACATAATATCCACAGATTTTTGACAATGATAACCTTGGGGTACACCGCGTGGAGCAATTTTAAGATGTATCTATTTGAAAGAAAGGGGAGAGTCACCGAGAATTTCTTTTTTTTTTTTTAATTTTGTAGTACGATTCCATAGTGTCTAGGATTTTCCTACCCCTCCCCCAAATTTCCACCCCCAACTGATTTTGCCCGTATTATTACAATAGTATAGTCCTTCATAAGGAGTCGTGATTCCATCAGTCTGCTATTTAAGTGTGTCCCAACATTGCTAGTACAGACAATGTCAGTCCAGCATCTCACTGTCTAGATATATCCAACAGTTTCATTGGCAGTCTGTCTTTGATTTGGAAGTAGGGATGCATATTGCATTGTATCTTCACATCTTGAATATGATCTCTATTATGCCATCACTATACATTCCCTTACATGAGAAGTCAGGAAAAACAGTCAATCACAGGTATGAAATTAAAGCAAAAGGTTTACAGTACCTGGAGTTGAAAATGCACCACTGGATGACCAGTGCATGGGGAGTCGGTGAGAATTTTTTTTCTGCTGGTTTACTTGTTGAACAGCCAGGTGGGAACCAGGATCCAGAACCTGTATCCAGGTCGCCAAGCTGGGTGAGAGGGGCACAGGGAGTCACTATGCCTTCTGCTTCCTTCGTAGGCGTATTAGTTAGTACCTGCATTGCAAGTGGATCCCTGGGGCCTCAAACCAGTGCCGAAATGGGAGATTTAAACATTATATTTCTTTCATATGTGAAACTGTGCACAGATCAGATTAAAAGTAGAATATGAGAGTTCTTCCATGTTAATTTTTTCTAGTGTACTACATTTTTCTCTAGCCTTGCGTTGCTACCTGGTATAGTCTTTTATTTCGTATAGTGCTTGTCTTCAAATACGTCCATGATTTTGCTATCATTTTGTCTCTACTTTTGAAGGTCATTTCAATGGCTGGAGAAACTTGTGCTGACTTTTCAGCACTCTGCAGATGCTGTTACATGTTTTTTTAACTTAGATCATGATGCATGTATGTCTTTTTCCTTTTGGAAGGGTATTTACTGAGCTTTTTGAATGTTTATTCATTAATTTTAAAAGAATTTCTGAAATAATTTTTGGCTTTTAAAATTGTATTTGAAAAACGATAGTTTTCCTTTTATTCTTTTTTGTTTTCTTCTGAAACCCTTATTCAGTTCCTGCATGTGGTCTTTCCTTTGTATCATGTTATGTAACACGTTTATCCGAGTCCTTGGAAAGTCCCTGGTTGAAGATCATCCTGTTGTCCGAGTCACGTTAGAGAGTGCTTCTGACTGTTTCCTCATTTGATAGTGAAGCAAGTCCTTTTTGTTTTGTGTGTTAGGTCAGTTTTTTTTTTAAGATTTATTCATTTATTTTTATTACAAAGTCAGATACACATAGGGGAGGAGAGACAGAGAGGAAGATCTTCTGTCCAATGATTCACTCCCCAAGTGAGCGCAACGACTGGTGCTGCGCCAATCCGAAGCTGGGAACCAGGAACCTCTTCCGGGTCTCCCAGTGGGTGCAGGGTCCCAAAGCTCTGGGCCGTCCTCGACTGCTATCCCAGGCCACAAGCAGGGAGCTGTATGGAAAGTGGAGCTGCCGGGATAGAACAGGCGCCCATATGGGATCCTGGTGCGTTCAAGGCGAGGTCTTTAGCCGCTAGGCCATTGTGCTGGGCCCTGTTAGGTCAGTTTTTATTGAATGCAGGCACTGTGTGAAATAAGACAATAGAGGTTATTGCAGAAAGCATTTATACCCACAAAAAGGAATACCTCTTCTATTGCCATGTCATTACTTAGCTCTTATGGAAGGAAGTAATCCCTAGTAATTTAATTGTAACTGAAGTATCTTAATTCTATGTAGATTTTTGAAAAGTCTTTTAAATATTAAGATCAAAAATGTATATTTTTGAATTTGAATATGAATTTAAACTATAATTGTGCTTCATTAATTGATTTCAAAGATCTTAGTAAAACCATTTTGTATTTAGTAGAAATTCTCTTTCTTGTTTATTAGCACTTTCAGATACAAAGAGTTGGTAGAAAAACAATACAGGTTAAATTTTGTCGCATACTATATGTTTATTACATGATAGTGATGATCTTTGTTTAATAGAATTCTGGAGTTGATTGACAATTGCATGTGATTTTAACAAAGTCCTGTTTCTCTTAATTTTGTATCCCATTTTAAACCTTTATTCTATAGAGTTATGATATTTGAAAAGTAAATTATTTTGGTTCTTATGAGAAATTTGCAACCTTTGAAGATAAAAAATGTTGAACTGTAGTAACTTTAAAATCTTTCTTTACAGGTGCTGTACTTCTTTGCAGTGCACAAGGCCTGGCAGTTAATATTGACCCAATCTTGTATACTTGGCTCATCTATGTTCCTCAGAAACGAGCAAGTAGACATATGCCACAGGTGAGAGTGTTTGAAAATTATTTTTCTCAATGGCAAAATTTTTTCTCAGTTATTTAGTGGAGATTACTGTCTTTTCATTGCCTCTGTGTTTATAAATATAACAATTTCTCTGTCCCCCATTGTACTCTTCATAAACAACACTATTTGTTAATTTCTGTACAAGAAATACCAGGTCTGGAAAGAATTTTATTGTCTGTTAAAGTTACTTTCTTTATAATTGCTTTTAATGCAGAATTTATAAAGAACAATAACAGGGCTGCTTTTACCTTTTATCCTTTTTATTTTTATAATATTACATCTTTTCACAGTAGATATTGGGTTTTGTTTTTATTCTCATTGCGTTTCTTCTTCCTGTTTGAATGCCTAATCCTGGCATGGGGATGATGTAGAATGATTCAGATACATGTTTTGTTTAAAAGTGTCTGAATTACAAAGTAAAACATAGGTGATTATAGTTTCTAAAATGCTTAACTGAAATTTTCTGTGTCAGGATACCTAAGTGTAATTCTGACATTTGGTCTTATTCTCATTTTTTTAGATAAGTAAATCTCAATACACATTAGTTCATTTAACTACAGTAACACAGCTAGCCACTGGCATAACTAAGAATTTGAGACCGTATTTGTGTTAGTTGTATTTTTCCATTGTTCTATTTCTAATAGTTTTGTGTCCTTTATGAAGTATCTTAAAGGTAGTAGCTGAAAAATTTATATTACATGTGAACTAAAATAAAACTATACATTCTTTCCTTCATCTTGAAATTTCTAGCATCTCTACCCTTGTTCAGTTTTTCCTTTTAACAATTATCTACAGAGTTTGATGCTGTGTGTTGGACACCAGAGCTACAGATTAAAAGAAAAAAAAGTTCTGGTTGATAATAATGTTCTCTACCTAAGGAGTAGTAGGTATATTTTTTGAATATTAAGAAATATAGTAATGCCATTTCTTTTAAAATATTTGTTGATTTACACTTGATCTTTGTGAAAAGGCCAAACAGAAATGTATTTGTTGATTTAAAAGTCAGGGTTAGAGAGAGATTTTTCAATCCTGGTTCCTTCCCAAGTGGTCAGGGCTTATCCAGGCTGAAACTAGGAACTAGGAGCTTCATTCAGATCTCAGACCACACATATGACTTGGACTGTCTTCTGCTGCTTTTCCTGGGCCATTAGGAGGAAGCTGTATCAGTAATGGAACAGCCAGGACATAAACCAGCACCCATTTGGAGTGCTAACATTACCTGGTGCAGGCGAGGGGCGGGGCAGCTTTACCCATTGCACCGCAGTACCAGCCCCAGTAGTGCCATTTGTAGTAGATGCTAAATGTATTGCACATGTTTGTCCAGAATTATATTAAAATAAAAAAGATGGGTACCTCTCACAAGCAGGGTATGAGTGGGAATATGAGAGAATAATTAATTAGCTGAAAATCATAGGAAATTTTAAAATCTGATCTGTTTGACAAGGGTCAAATAAGATGAAAAAATGTTGCACCAAAGAATCCTTCTTCAGTTCATGAGTGAATTGAAGTGCGAATCTGGTAGGAATGGGTTTCTAAAGTATGTACTGTATTTTTGTCATGAAAGATGTAATAGACCTAGATCTTACAAAATTTTAATATAGTAGAATGTAAAAAATGGCATTCAGAAGTTAAGACTACTAAACAAGACTCAGCCAAGAATTTCATTATAAGTTTTTATTTTCATTGCAACTTGTAATTTGCAAAGTGTAGATTTTTTTTAAAAGATTTATTTATTTTTGTTGGAAAGTCAGACGTACAGAGAGAAGGAGAAACAGAAAGATCTTCTATCCACTGATTCACTCCCCAAGTGGCCACAATGGCTGAAGCTAAGCCAATCTGAAGCCAAGAGCTTCTTCTGGGCCTCCCATGAGGGTGCAGGGTTCCAAGGCTTTGGGTCATCCCCTACTGCTTTCCCAGGCTATAAGCAGGGATCTGGATGAGAAGTGGAGCAGCCGAGATATGAACCGATGACTAGTGATATGTGTTGGGTGTAACGTGTAGACACTGAATCACCTACAACCCACATTGACATGTCTGACTTAAGTTCCAGCTCCGCTCTCCATTCCATCCTCCTGCCTCTAGATACTTGGGGATGTGGCAGGTGCTGACTCACATAGTTCAGTCCCTCCCACCCAGATGAGGCCTGGTTCTGGCTGTTGTTTTGAGCGTCAGCCTGGCCTTGCTCACACTGGGAATGAACCAGTGGATGAGAGCTCTCAAAACAAATGAAGTACTGCTTGTTGAAATCTTTCTTTAATGTAGGATTAAGCTGGTGAGTATAAAGTTAAGATATGTCATGACAAAAATTAGAAGAATATGAGAAAGGAAGGCAAATTGTAATGTTCTTTTAAAAAGGACTTATTTATTTGGAAAGTTTCAGAGAGGGAGAGAGGAGAGAAGAGATCCTTGGTCCCCTGTGCCCTCCCCAGCTGACTGACCCGTAGAGCTGGGCCACAGGAGGAGCAGCTGGCAGTTTCACCTCACATGCTGCCGTGCTGGCTCCATTACACACTTAAACCTGTATTTATAAAGTACATAAAATAAAACTTTCAAAATACATTAAAAAATAAATACTTGAACTTTATTTTTGATTTAATTTTATACATTTTTATTTCATATCCTGCAAATTCAGGATAAAAGAGGTTGAATGTGTTATTGATATAATACCAACGTTTATATTTTCCCCAAAGTTGTTGACTGAAGTGCAACTTCTAACAAGTGTATAAAGCAAATTTTTAAACTGTTTTATTCACTTATTTGTGATTTTTTCCAAATTGGAGATGGACTCCCAATGAAACTGTTGAATATATTTTGCCAGTAGAATGCTGAACTCTGTACCATTGTCTATACCTACAATGTCAGGAAAAATATATACTTTTAAAGATTTGTTTATCTAACTGAAAGGCAGTTTGCCACAGGAGAATGTGGGAGAGAGAAAGAAGCATCTGCTGTTGACTCCCCACATGCCTGCCAAAGGCATTGTCTCCAAATGGGAAGATAAGGACTTGAACCATCCTTTACTGCTTCCCAGGCACAGAGCAACAGGAAACAAGACGTGGAATTCAGGCTCTCCGAGGAGGAATGCAGGAGTCCCAAAGGGGATTTTCGCTTCTATGCCAAATATCTAATCCTATTTTGATATTTTGGCCTGAAGTATCCAATTTTTCAAACAATCGTCTTATTCCTGCTTCAGTATTTCGCATGAACCATCATATTAGCAGTCATTCAACAAATATGTTTGAAGTTTATTGAGTATTTTGAGTATATTGAGAACTTATTGGGAATTTTTGAATACAGTTATGAATATATATAATATGTCTTACTCTCATTTGAGAAAGGCTTTTTGTTTTTGCTTTTTCAAGAATCTTTACTGTGTGAGAATAAAGACCGAGTTTCTGCTACCCAAAGATTTGTTTGTTCTTTTTTACTGTCACTATGACCGCTTCATTAATCTCGCCTTTCAGATACTATATCATGCTCTGCAACACATACATCTTCTGTCAGTGTTGTTGATATATTAATTTGAATCTTGTACTTTGTTGTAACTTGCTAAAATGTTTGGCTGTTTTATCTGTGAAGACTTTGGTTGTAGTGGTGTTGAGAATATCATCCGACTGCACTGCAGACTGACCAACACCCATGCCAGATTCTCCTTCTGATCCAGCAATATTACAGTTATCATCTGTTGTTTTCCCAAACTGCAATTTCCTTCTCAATTTGTGGCTACAATCCAACATTTGATGATTCTTTTCCACTCAGTTCACCATTGATCTTTGATCCTTTTGCAAACTTAAAAATACCTTTGTTTTTTATTTTGCCAAAAATCTGACAAGATTGTGTTGGGCGTCATCAGCAGTAACATCAGATATTATTTCAGTGAATAAAGATGAAACAGCTGCTTTATTGTCCAGCTCAGCACTCATGCACTCAGTACCGATCCTAATGTTTTCCAGCTTTGCCATAACTACAGATATTTTTTTATGTTTTCCTGAATATGGTATGGATATAACTTTGTCAGATGAAATAGTTATTCAGCACTTAAAATTTTAAAATGTGTGTATTGCCATGGACATACCACATTAAAAGTATATGCTCCTAAGTATATCATTTGATAACTAGAACTTTTTTCTAGGCATCATAATTTTGAAAAAGGGTATTTTAATTTTAACTTATTATTTCATATTATCCTTACCCTTGTTACTAAAATTTTGTCTGCAAGATACTTCCAGGTGCTCCTGGTTTTCCCAGAGTTGTGAAGCACATTTTGGAAATGTGATTGAACAAATACAGAAATAATTTCATAACTTTTGCTTTATGAAATTTTGTAGTAGTTCTATTTTATTAGTTATTTATCTTTTTACTGTGTCTAAGATATAAACTGAACTGCATTGTAAATTTGCATATACATAGGAAAAATCACCACAGTCATCTACCAGTATCCGTGGAAATTGGTTTTAGGAAATGCAAAGGATGCCTTTGTCTGCGTAAGCCATGTCTTTCATAGCACGGCACTGCGCATGCATATAGAATTATGTACATCCTTGTATATACTTTAAATCAACTCTTGATTACTTATAATACCTAATGCATTATAATTACTGTAATTATTTTATTTGGGGGAGAATTAATGAGAACAGAAGTTGATACATGTTCTATTCAGACACAACTTTTTTCTTGTATTTAAATTCAGGATTGGTTAACGGGTTCCCAGGGGAGGAACCCATTGTATCACTGTGTGGTGGTGTTAAAATGACTGGTGGCTTTAGACATCCACTTGAAGCTGTCAACTGTGGATCAGGGGACACTCCTGAATGTTAGAACAGGAAAGGAATTTGGAGGCAGGGGTGTGTAAATACAGTCTCAACCTGTGACAGATTGTTTTCAATTATGATATGCTTAGCACTCACTTCTTCCAAACAGGTCAGTAATTCAGTTTCCCATTCTGGCCTTTTGCAGCAGCCTGTGGTAGCTGTTCCTCTTGTTATGCCTGTTAGCAGAAGGAAAGAAGATGAGGTGTCAGTTGGAAGTGCACCCTTGGCAAAGCAACAATCTTATCAGGCTTCTGAGTATGCTAGCAGCCCTATCAAAACAAAAACAGTAACAGGTATGTAAGAAGCTGTGTTTTACTAAACCGTGACTCACAAGTCAGTCTGTCATAGTATCTTGAATGCTAGAGTATAACACACAACCCCTGAAATGGTGACAAAGTACTAGGTTACTGATAATATTAGCAGTAATCAGAGTACTCACATTTCTGAACCTAATTTTCACAGGGTGACATGAAAGTAGCCAGGTGCCAGTTATATATGGTGGACCTTTAAGAAGAACGTTGAGTTTAAGGAACCCGCACCTTTTATTCTGGATAGAAAGGATGCGTAACCTTTTCCTTAGAGGGGGTGCTTATGTTTGCCAGCTTACGTAAGCTTGCCCTTGGTTCATAAGGGTGCGGATAATTGTCTTCTGAGGCTTCTTACTACATGAATATCTTTGAAACACAACTGGAATTAAAAGCCAGTGCTATCTCTGCTTGAAAGATAAGTGGAAACACAGAACACTTATGTAGAAGCAACTCCCAGTAGAATGTGTTCCTCTTTTAAATGAAGTTGAAACCATAAAATAGTCTCAATCTTCTTTTTTGTCTTTCTCTCATTCTTAGCTAGGTCATGTGTGCAAATACGAAGTGCGTTCTTCCTTACAGTGATTTTATATTCTTTTGTGTAATAAAAATATTTTATTGACATGAAATTTAACCCTAACTTTTTGTTTTATGATTTATAAAGAATGTTATAGTTTTAATTAGTTCTTCAGCTTTATTTCTTGTATCTCAAATTTTCGCAGCCATGCCGATAGTGATTTACCATTTCCAGTAAGTTAAAACATTCTGTACATATCTGTTCTAAGACTGTTTTAAGTAAAATTGAGGACAGAAATATAAGCCATCATCACTGATTTTAAGAGCTTTAAGGTATGATTAGGTAAACAAAGAAGTTCAAACTGACTTACAACATATTTTTACTTGAAAGGAAGAGTGAGTTCCCATGTGTTGGTTCATTCCCCAGGTGCCCACAGTGGCCAGAGTTGGGAGGTAGCCTAGATACAGTCAGCATGTCCTGAGTGAGAGCCGTAACCCCAGAACCCTAGTCGTGACTGAACCATGAGCCTTTGGGTCTGCATTGGCAGGACACACGGACCTGGAGCCAGCACTGGGAATCAAACCCAGGTGCTTGGCTATGGGACACAAACATAATAACCATTGTGCTGAACACCCATTGTGTCATTTGTAGTTAAGGAAAGATGTAGTATCATTTTCTTATCAGACAAAAGGATACTGAAATAAATTTTTGTGGAGCTTTATTCATAACAATTATTAATCTATATTTCTTTTGCTGCAATATAGTTGATTTATTGTGTGAAATTATTAAATTCTGCCTGTCAGTATTCACAATCCTTTTATTATGTTGAGCTTTTGATAAGAATTCATATGCTTAGTTCTTTTAAAATATTTATTTATTGCTCCTGGCAAGGCATAGTTACTGAAATAGTGACAGGAGGGTCTTGCATCTGCTGGGTCATTCCCCAAATGGCCACATTGGCCGGAGTTGGTCAGTCTGAATCCAGGAGCCAAGAGGTTTTTCCAAGTCTCCCACTTGAGTCCCAGCTTCCTCTGCTTTCCCAAGTAATAAGCAGAAAGCTGGATTGGATGTGGAACAGCCAGAACTTGAATCAGCACCCATGTGCAATGCTGGCAGCACAGGCAGTGGTACAACTTGCCGTGTCAGTCACATATTTCTAATTTTGTATCACAGATCATCTGCAATTTGTGCTGATTTTTGTACATAAAATTCCACATTTTTATTGTTTAGATATCATTCTAAGGTTTATTTGACTTTAGTTATCTCACTTGGTGGTTAACAAAGTTTCTTAAACGCCACCTCAATAAAAAAGCTATCCAGTGGTAAAAGTACATTTCCATTATCTGCATATCAACTCACATTTTGAAATGCCTCTGTATATGTGTAGAAAAGTTATATGTAAATTCACATGTCAGTCACATTAATTCATAAGTGCTATCAATGATTTTAAAAAATTTTGTTTATTATGGTTTTTCATGTCCTTATAAGAAGTGATTATTTCTTAGGAAAGTGAATAAAATCAGAGGGCAACTTATGAAAGTAGCAATGTGATTTTTCTTTCAAATCACAAATATAAATGATGGCTTTTTAAATCTTAGATGAAGGTAATTCCTTTTTAGTATTTATTTGAAGAACAAAAAGAGAATGCAAGACAGGGAGCTACAATGTTGTTTCATGTCTTAAGCCAGGAGCTTGGAACTCAGTCTGGTGAGTCTTCCATGTAGAAGGAGGGGACCCAGCTGCTAGAGCTGCCACTTGCTGCCTGTCAGGTTATGTACAGCACACAAGTGACATCTGTAGTAGAGCCAGGATTGGAACCCAGATACACCAGCATGGGAAGCACGCATCCTTAAGCATTCTCTTAGCTGCTGCACTAGACACCTTCCTGCTTCCCCTTTCTGTCTTTATCATTTTTAACAACTTCAAATATCCTGAAAGTACTCTTATAGGTAAGACCATCAGTATTCCACCAAATGAAATTTATTACTCAAGTTGACTGAAAAAGTTATACCTGCGAAACTAATGCCTCTTCTTGGGGTTTGTAGGCATTTATAGAAAGTAAAAAAAAAAATACAGGCATAGTGTTTATATTGTATGTATTATATATCTTGTATGTATACAGTGTCTCTCCTCAGGTGCTGGAGAACTTGGCGGTGGTATTCCTTTGCTGAATGCCTTTACTTAGAATTAAACTTTCACAGATTTGTTTTATTTATTTTAATTGAAATATATTGTCTCTCTTAAATTAAAAGCATGTTTTATTTCTTTGAATTTGTACCTACATTTAAATGTGAGTATTATTGCTTTCAAGTGTTCTTTTTCTCAGTAGTAAGTTGTAATAAATTCTTTTTGTGTATTTGCACAATTTTTGGTTGTTGACATTTTAAAAACATGTTAAGTGTACAGTTGAGTAGTGTTAAGTATATTCACATTATGAACTTCATATTTTTATTTCTAAGTGATAGTGAACAGAGAGATTAGTGTTGATTTTATGCTTGAATCCCTACTAAAATTCTTATCTTTGTATTTAACAGATATAAATCCTTATCTCTGTGCTTAAAAGTCGTATTTCTGTATGTATGATTCAGTGGTTATGTAAAGTTCACATCTAACAGGTTATACAAACTCCTCATGCTGCAGTGGGTTTAATTTTTGTTTTAAATTATTCAGCAAGAAGCTAACTTTTCCTCTTGCAGTCTCAATTAGTACTGATGAGTGAATGCATGGAGAATATGGATTGACAGCTGGGAATGTGTTGACAGCAAGCAGCGCTATGTCAGTGATAAGTAGGTAGGTCAGAGCAGGCTATAATAAAAGCATGCCCCCGAAAACAATATATAATCACAAAATTCTAAGCCATCTACTAGAGAACCTATATATTGGAAAGGCAGATATAATTGTAGAAAAGGAGAAACAGTGAAAGATCTTCCATCTACTGGTTCTCTCTTGAAATGCCACAATGGCTGGAGCTGAGCCAGTCCAAAACCAGGAGCCAGGAACTTCTTCCAGGTCTCCCACACAGGTGTAGGGTCCCAAGGCTTCATGCCATCCTCCTTTTCTTCTCAGGCTGTAACTAGGGGGCTGGGTGGGAAGTAGAGCAGCTGGGATATAAACTGGTGCACATTCGAACTGGTGCACATTTGGGATCCTGGTGCTTGAAGGGGGAGTATTAGCCAATCAAGCCATTGCACTAGGCCCCCATTGTTTTTAAATGTGGAATGCCTAGAAGCTGTCTTATTGTCTAATGTCATGAACATGAATTTCAAACTCTTGGTGAATTTTTTTTTAGTTGTTTTCCATGGTACAGTTTTGTAAGTAGAAGGATTCATCTTTCTTTGTTCCTCCTTTCTGGTTTTCCCCTCCCATTATTTTTCCCCAAAGAATCACATCAGTACAGTCCCTTTGTAACAGTTATAAGTTTAGCCTTCTGCTATTTAAATGTATAATGGGTGAAATTTTTTTATGACGGAGAAGAAAACTTCTTAAAGCATATTATATATTACTTATACATTATATATAAACTAATATAGTACTTCAAAGTAACGTAAGATAGCTCAAGTACTTGGGCCCCTACACATGTTGGAGACCAGGAGTTCTTTGCTCTTAGTTACACATCTTGTCCAGTCTTGGCTGTTTGAGCCATTTGGGTAGTCTATCAGCAGTCTCTTTTTCAGTTTTTCTATGCCTTTACATCTCTTTCTGTTGCTCTGCATTTCAAATAAATTGGTCTTTTAAAAAAAAAAAAGAAAGATGGGCCTTAAATTGCAATTCTTAAAAAAAAATACAAATCATGTTTATCTTAATGTTCATATATTCTAAGTGAAACTGTATTACATGCATAGTTAGTTAATAGAAGGCTTATAAATTTTAAAGTCTTTGATTACTGCCAAGATAATGATGAAGATGGGAAAATGATGTAACATTTTGTGTGCATGGTATAAACTGAAATATAGCTTGTTGGCTTGTGAACATAATGGAAAAACATTGTTTAGTTTTATATTCCTCTATAAACGATTAATAAACTGGATAAAACTTATGGGAGAAAAATTCCAGTATGTAGACATTGAACAAAAAGCAATTTAGGACTTCAATCCCTCGTAGAAGGGATACAAATGAGATTAGCCTTAGGGTTGTCCTGGCTTTCTGGCTAAAGGCACATTCCAGAACATTGAGCAGGGTGGGACATCTCAAACTGAGCTTCTAAATTGCAGAGACAGGGATTAACATTTAGGGAGGCAGAAATGACTGGAAATTATGGGATAATGTTAGAGAAAGCTTAGCCAAAAAAAAAAAAAAGGAAAAGGAGATATAGAAAGAGCAATATTTTTTTTTCTTGGGTGTGTTTGCTGAGTAGTAAGAGATGCATGCATTGTTTGAGCATCCACATAACTGGGCGATGAATGACATAAAACTGTAAGCCTAATCATCCACAGATTCACACAGGGCTGGAAGGCATTCACATTCCTATTGT